TATATATTTTTTTAAGATATAAATGGTCAATAAATTTAAAGCCTACGAAAATATTAACAGAATTAAATATTTTTCCCCAAATCTCGGCTTTAATCAATCAAAATTTATTTAAAACATTATCGATCATCGATAACTTTGATTGCTTTATTGATCAAATTATGCATTTGACCTTGAAGAAATTGCGCACGGTAGCACGCGTAAGTACAAGTGCACCGTAATTTCTTCAATGTTAACGGCACACTAAGAATTGTCGTCATTTATTAATATAAATACGTTCATGTGAGTATCTTTTGATAAAAAAAAATCTTATATATATAAGATCGATCATGTTCTATATTAATATACTTAATTTCATTATGTTTATATTATGTAATATTTTAGATTTTATAAGATATATTTTATAACTTACAAAATCTAAAAACTGTTATAATTTTAAATATAAATTGTTTTGTTTTTTTTTATTGTTCTTTTTATATGAAGTTATTTATTTTGTCGTTACAAATTGTCTTATGTAATTCGTTAGATATTTACAGACAGATCGCTTTTGTTGCTTGTGTATTATCAGGCCATTTGTCCCAAGCTTCTCATTTACGAAGGGTTAAAAATATTTATTATAAATGATTCATTCCACTGTATTTTTTTGTGTATTAACGAAAATAAAAACCTTTATTTATTTCTCAAATTTTACATATTTTTAGTTATAAATCGGCATTTAATTAATAATATTTCTTAATAATTTGTTACATAGTTGAACTAAAATATTATTCATTTGTAATATAATACGTATGAAAGAGAAGAATACCATTATCTTCGTAAGAATATTCAATATCATTAGTGACGAATGACTATCGGTGCTCAAAGACGAACCGATAGACCTCCGGGCATTATTGATCATATAAGTTAATGGGTCTCTTAAGAAGCTTGCTCGAGGATAAAAGTTTACGAAATAATAGAATTACTGAAACCTATAAGTCCTGGTCGTAAATAAATTTGTTGCAGAGGTAACACAGGAAATGATTAGATATAGTAACTAATTATGAGTAAAATATCTTCATAACTTTAATGTATTGGTATTTATTTTAATTTATTCAATTTATAAAGATTTTAAATATAAAATAAAATTAATTATGTTTATAATTTATTATTGTTTTATAAATAATGCAATTGTCAAATATTTTTACATTGAGAAAAAAATTAATTTATTAAATTAATATATCATATTATAGTGTTAAATGTAAATATTTGTATAAATATTTTGCTGATATAAAAATATTATTTTTAATTATATTAGCTAATTTTTAAGATATTTTTTTAATTAATAATTAGCATAAGTTATATCTTAAAATGCTTAAGAATTCCATTGTTTGATTTTCCTGAAAATTTCTAGAAACATTGCCTGCTAATATACAAACTTCTCTGCAAAATTTAAGAAATTTTCGACAAAAGTCACAGGAGTTAAGCTTCAAAGTGTGTGAAAAAAATCATGCCCCACACATACGCTAACATTCAAACATACTCCCCCAACTGTTTAACATTTCTCGACGTTTCACGATCTTTTGAGTCCAAAAATGTAAAAAAAACCTTGGAGGATCATTTTTTTGACTGATCTCCATAATTTCCCTTTGTTACATACTTGTATATAACAGTAGGAAAATTAAAATGACTCATTTAATCTCTATAGGCCTATTTTTTCCTTTAGAGTGGTAGCGATGCAACTTGTATTATTCTATTTACCAAAAAAATTAATAAAAGTCTAACAAATTTAAGACAAAACTTATAACTTGTTGCTAATATTAAATTTATTATAATTGATTTCTTAACAAAAGTGTAAAAAACACCAGAGAGATAATAGATAATCTCGAAAATAACACATAATATATAGTGATTTTTAATCGCTTTTACCATACCTTCGTACTCTCCCCATTTGTTGTACCGGATATCGAGTTTATATTCAATTTCCAATCATGTTAGGTGCAACTGATCTTTATATATGGTGGAAATTGCATGATAAATCCTTTATTTCAGATCCGTGATGTCCCGTAGTCTAATTTTATACAATGCATTACAAGAAGTACACAGGCGTTATATCTGAAAGTAGCCAGGAAATTGAGCCGTTCCTTTCAATCCGTAGGTCGGAGAATGTTTGATTTTTATTTATTTAGTAGACTTACAGTATCGTTCACAAGAACATTTGATGACTGCCACATAATTAAAAAATAAATTGAACAATAATTCCCATTAATAATGAACGAATAAATATATAAAAGGTAAAATAAAAATAATAACTATAATAAATACAAATATTATAAAAAAATAAATTTAATAACTCACACATGTGCAGTCCCAGGGCCGTCGAGAAGAAAAAACTGCAAATTTTTCTTCGTATTCGTACTAAACTTAGCGGTCGTAGTGATTCCTATCCCTATAAAATTCACGTTATTTTTACTAACAGAAAGTAAAATCTTTAAGACTGCGTTTTATTAATACAGAAACTTTTTACTTATTTCATTTATTCAAAAAAAAAAAATAAATAATAACTAAAAAGGCTGAAGGAGCCCGTTAAGAGATAAAAGAGACCGGCTCTAACAATAAGCCTCATATATAAGCTCTCGAAGGTCTATGCAGTTCCAGTGTAGGGATTGCATTATCCTGTTGAAAGATGATAGAGAGCTGGCAATCTTTTCACACCACAAATTCGATTAAAAGATTGTCAGCTTGTCTATCATCTTTCAACAGGATCTACAAAAATAAAACATAAATCAAAAGATCTACATTAACTTTTGCAGTAATGATTTAATCTGTGAATATAAAAGACAATAATACAGCTGTGCAAGTTGCAACACTAAAAATTCGCCTGAAGACTGTTCTGTACCAATTTTCTAGTTTTACGTAAGTTTTCAGAATCCCAAATTTATGCATTTCTTCGGAAAATATGGAACTTGGCTTCATCAAGAAACAAATACAGTTGAGGATTCCAGTATTTGAAAACTTTTTTTCTTTTTAGTTTATCATTTAGTTCAATTGCTTGTATAAGTTTGCAAATTGCAGAATTGTAAGAACATAATCCCAAATTCTCGTGTAAGATTTTATGTACCGTTGAACGCTAAATTTGTAACTCTGAAAGCAAAATATCTGTAGATGGATTTTCTGAGACTATTCGTAAAATGTTCGCACGCACGATCAATGGTCTCGTCTGATGTCCTTGGTCGACCACTTCTCTCTTTAACCGGCATTGATTCTGTCTCCATAAATTTCTTATGCCACTGGTCAATAGAATGATGGTTTTACATACTTCGTTCTATAGTTTTATTGAGTCAATTTAGCAGATTTGGCTTTAACGAACCAAGACATATTGCATCTTTTCTTATGGGAAAGCTATTTTACGAAAAAAAAAATCATTTCTTAATTCATAGAGAATACTTGAAACGTAAAAAGTGAGTGCAAACTATGGAAGTTACTTAATGTTCTACAAAAACAAAATAAATTTATCATAAACATTGTACTGTACACCCTAATTAATAAAATATTTTTATGGCTATAATAATAGAACTAATTATTCAATTTAATTTAATTAATTTAAGAAATTTCAGTATCTATGTGATAATAAGTCTAATTTAAA